CTTACCATCCTCGTTTCTGTAATTAATAAATCTAAAATTCCTAAAAGCCTGTACTTTTCATTCAGTTAAGGTATAATCTAATACTAAATTCTTAATTGAAGTGCAGCAAAAGTGACAAGAATGATCATGATAATTAGAGAAAGCTTTTAGATATGTCATACACAGCTAAAATATGGACTAGATCTTTCCATGGAAGAGAATTTGAAGAGACACGGCTCAGAATTAAAGAGCTTCCTATTCTTCCAGACAATCCAAGTTTGATTTCTACCTGCCCTGTCTGCTGCAGCTGTAAGTCCAGCTTCAGTGGATGTGATGCCCTCCTACGGCCTTCCAGGGCACCTGTATACCTGTAGCATTCATACACACACACACACACACACACACACACACACACACATACACACACACATACACACACACATATACACACACACATACACACACACACATACACACACACATACACACACACACATACACACACATACACACACACACATACACACACACATACACACACACACATACACACACACATACACACACACACACATACACACACACATACACACACACATACACACACACACACATACACACATACACATAATAAAGACTGAGTAAAAGAAAATTTAACCAACAAAAAGCACAACATTATTCACAGGGACTGGGTGTAAAAAAATATAGAAAGAATGTGTACAACATGGTCCTGGAACATACAGGTTTCAAATCGGAATTGAAAGCTAGTTAAATAATCAGCTTATAATTTTTATATCTCCAGCTGGCTAGAATCAGAGCACCTAAAAACACTATAGTAGAGATATAAAGAGCATTTAGTGTTTGTTTCTACACTAACTTGGCATATCTGTGTGTTGCAATCAGGAACACACACCATTTTTAATCCAACAAAATCCCTCTTCTGTTTCACAAGCAAAATAACACAAGAACAAAAATACTACTTTTGAATCATAAAAATTAAATGTGTTACTTGCTCAAGAAAATAAATTTTAAGAGAGAATTTTAAAAAGACAAACAGTTCTTTCAATAAGTTTTGCTCTAAACTAAATGAATGAAAAAAACAGCAATAACTCACAAGAATGTGGTGTTATGCAATTACGTACATTGGGAATTTTTGTATTTCAGTTTACATGCCAAATTCAGTCAGTTACTCTTTCTGTAATAAACCTTTACTGGAACACAGCAGGTCAGTTATTTTTATGGACTGCCTAGGACTGCTTCTGCATTACAAAGGCACCAACAGAGTTTAAATACTATCTGGTCTTTAACAGAAAAACTTTGCCAACCTAAATTGAATCAATGATTCTGGAAATGTAGTGGTTCCAGGATCAAAATTACAGTCTCACCTGGAAACATGTAAGAAAGGCAACAGTTCCACTCCACACCTACTGAGACAGAAACTCTGGAGACAGAGCCCAACAGTATATATTCCAACGAGTCCTGTATGTAATTAAGGAACATCTCTACAGTAACTGGGAAGAGATGAGGATCCACATAAAATCTGTCTTGAAATCGAATAAAGACCTAATAAAGCCTCAAGGAGACCGTCAGAATAGACTTAGCCCAAAGTGAGGAAAAATGTCACTGAACACTATGAAAGGAGATTCTTCCTAGGGTATACTGGCGAGTCTCATCTACAGTGACACAGACCTACAAACATAAGGCGATCGCTCTATGTAGTTGTAGGAAAATGCAGAGGGCTCAAAAACTGTCTTTTTGACCAACAAAGTATTATTAAAATGAGAAAAGTAGAGGCCTGGCTGCCATGGCAGCAGGGAAGCAATCAGAGATGTCGGCATCTCAGCATATCCCCTCCGTCCATTAGTCCATGATCTCCGGCAAGCCAAAGCCTGGTAGTAAAGGTTTTAACACAAAAGCCTTTGAGGGACACTCAAGATCCATTATAGCAGTACTATAATAGTTTTCGTTTGGGACAAAAAGATTAATTAAAAACATAATGGTAAGAGACCTATGCAGAATTTTTTAAAAAGCTATGAAACGAGTATAGTAACACGTACACAAGAGGAATACTTATAACGTGAGAAACTAGCAGGAGTCATACCGGCATTATTAGAAGTACTATGTTAAGCCATTATGAACTGCTACTAGCTTTGAATCAAAAATATCAGAAAAGCCTACTGGAATCAAGTGAAGATGTTCCCAAACTATCTTCATTTGGGGACTCATGAAAGACAGCAATTTCTTCATGACATTTTTAAGCCAAGGAAATAGTAATGTAGGCTCAAACAAGTTCGCATTTACTTGGGGCACCGACAAGCCTGCAGACCTTGGCACCATCCTCAGCACTGCCACACTGTCGTTTCTTGTTCCACACTAACTGCCACACACTAAGTTGCTGCTATTCACATAGTAAACTCTGAAAATAGAGCTCTACAAAGACACAGCATTGTAGAAATGGACGGAGCTTTTGAACCCTGAAAATACCCCAAGTAGCTGCAGGAAGCTGGAGGTCACTGGTGCTCTAGGCACCTGGAACACAGTTTGGGAAACTGAGAACTAAAGGAAGGAGCCTAAAAAGGGAAAACAACGTTATGGAGGAGGAGCAAAAGAAAATTCTTTGCACAGTTATCCACAAGAGGGCAGCAAAATGGGGCTTAGGTGGCAAACCCTTCCATACATAGGCTGTAAATACATCAGATGTAGTTTCCCCTTACTGTAATGAAGAATTGCCACTGGCAGATCACCAATGCACCATCCATCTTCTTTACCTGCCCAGCTACGAGGGGCTAAGACTTTCAAAAAGTGGCCAAACCATTTACTACTTTGCACGTATCATATCAATCTTCACACCATCACCTAAGAAAGTAAACTGTCGGGAATATAGCTGTTAAAGGTACTGAACACACCATTATTCTAAAACAAGTCCGCACATTCAGACCTAACTCGGAAGTCGGGGCTCTTTCCAACTTTGCCAGGAAAGGATCCCAGCTTTCAAGAATAGCCTATTTGAGGGAAGTAGAGAAACACGTAAGTTTGCTTTCCATGATCAAGGCACCTTCAAATCGCAAAGGAAAAGACACCGAAAGAAACAAATCCACGCCAGGTGGTGGTTCGTGGCTGCCCACACCTTTCATCCCAGCACCAGGGAGGCAGAGACAGGCAGGTCTCTTGAGTTAGGACCAGCCTGGTCTACAGAACTAGTTCCACAATACTCCATAAAAGTAAAACTAAATCTATGTGCTCATCTAGCCAACACATCCTGCAGCCTTCCTGTACAGGTAAATGCTTCGTAGAATTACTGGATAGTACTCTCAGGACAGTAAGTCCTGGACACATCCAGTCTGCAGATGGAGCACAGCCGAGCACATTCACACACAACCAAATTTTCCTGACACTTGGAATGGGTGGTAAACAGGTGAAGAACATGGAGAAACTGGACCAAGAACTGATGATTCATTTTCAAATCCGCTGGGAATTGTATCAGAATATTTGTAGTAAGCCAACAGCTTCACTTGTACAAACCTATTATGAAACCAAAAGCAACCTCCGGTTCCCTTCTTCCCACTTGTGTTTTCCCTCCCTCTGTGACACACTCAGCGGCTCCTCTCCTATCCTTTCATTCAGAGAAAAGGAGTTTCCCCTGACAGATTAATAACCGGAAAGTAGGCTGCGTAACATTCAACCAACATAGCAAGCTGAGGCAGGTGAATACAGGAAGCATTCTATGTGACAGCAGACACCCAAGCAAAATTATTTTCTCCGCAAAGCCACACTGTTAAACCAACAAGGAATGTTTCTTAAAGGATCCAAGAGACACAATAAATACCAATTACTCTCCCACAGCAACAGGAAAAGTTCAGCGCTACCATCTTCGGAGTAAGCAACAATTAGCTCTGCTGTTCTACATAAACATCCAGCCGCCTTAGCAGGCACTGGCTCGCAGATCGCAGACACCCTTGTTTTTAACTGCAGCGACCACACAGCCCCAAGAAAGCTCGCACACCCACCGTCGCGGGAGGGAAAGGAAGGGCCTCTTCTTCTGGGGAGGAAAAAACAGTTCACATCTTGTTCCCGTGGCCTGCTTCTGGAACCTAAAAACAGAAGCAGCAGTCACAACCTCAGAAACCCAAGGCAAATAGATGCTCTCCCCCTCCCCACAACCCCCGAACTGTTTAGATGCCTAGAAAAATTTACAGAAGGATAAGGAAGGATAAGGATCTGGTTCTAGGGCACAAGAGGATGCATACATTTATCAGCAGCCAGACACTCCTTCCTAGGCTGCTTGGAAACCCTCTTTAAAGTTCCCTGCCAGTAACAGGGGCAAAGTGGGGAGCAGGAGGAGGGATCGCAGGGAGAACCGCTCCCCCCCCCCTACACCCCCATTCAGCAGCCAGGGTCTGAACCCACCGGCGACACGGGTTGAGCCACACAGGAGTGCCCCGAGGCGCGCAGGAGCTGCTCCTCCGCGACGCGTCGGGCGGGCCGAGGTCAAGGGAGCCCCCGGGCCGGGTGTAGGGGCGAGCG